TCACTTGACTTCAGGTCAGAAGGATGGCGATGAACTACGTAGAAATGCTGATGTTATGGAAATCCTAAGGAAAACGAGGTTCCTGAGAGTAAACCCCATCTGTGAGGAGAAATCCCCAGAAACAATCCTTGAACATGAGTAAGATTTCTTGCTTGCAGACACACCAGTTACTTCCATTTTCTATACACATAACTGGAAAATGTAAATGAATTAGTAAAAATAGATTGAATAAGTAAGTGGGAGCAGTTGGAAAAAAAATTGTATTGAAAATCATTGATCTGTCTAAAAGTGCTAAGGAATTGTTCCACCATTTGTTCTATTGCTATTGTATGAGAGTAATACATTTTGACGTTTTCAAATCATCTTAGAAATGGAATTATTTCATTTCAATATTTTGTTATTTTTCGTAGTGAACTGTTATTATGTACTTATGGTTAAAACTTTGATCTAGTCGGGTTATTTGGCTTGGCGATCTTAACTATCGAATAGCACTTCCCTACCGGTCTGCGAAAGCACTTGTTGAGATGCAAAACTGGAGAGCACTGTTAGAGAGGGACCAGGTACCTATAGTCCTACTGAAAATTAACTATTATGTTTTGTCAAAACTCTGGCTTCATTATCTTCACTCATTGGTTAATATCCCACTAAATGAACAGTTATTTTCTTAACAGCTGCGGATCGAGCAGACACGAGGCCGAGTTTTTTATGGATGGAAAGAAGGGAAGATATATTTCCCTCCAACGTATAAATATTCACATAATTCAGATAGATACGCGGGTGACGATATGCACCCAAAAGAGAAAAGGCGGACACCAGCATGGCAAGGGCTCTTCATATTTTCAAGTTTGATTTATTATATTTCTATATTACCTGAATAAATAAATTAAAGGAATATGTCTGGACGAATCATTTGGTAGATTAATTTATTGATGTTTTTAAGTAAAAAATTGATCTGGGCACTTCCATATCTGAAGGTGTGATCGAATTCTATGGCATGGAAGCGGCCTTCAGCAATTGTCATACGTCCGTGGTGAAATTAGGTTTTCAGATCATAGGCCCGTATCTAGCATGTTTTGGGCCGATATTGAATCAGTCCCCAACCGGTTGAGGAAGAGCATGAGTTGTTCGAACTCAAGGATTGAGGTCGAAGAGCTGTTACCATACGCCCATGGTTATACAGAGCTCTGCTTTTTTTAAATGAGAGGGTATGATTGTGAACTTAGGAATCGGGTACATGCTCTCTCACTCTCTTTCCTCTATGTGCATCTAAATTTGCATGCTCTCTCTCCTTGTGCACATAACAAATGCTTAGATGTATGCTGCCTAAATATTGAGAGCATGTTTGTGCAAACAGTATTGAGCACAATTGAAAAGTAAAATTGAGTAGATTTTTGCTTTTTTGTTTAATATCAGTGATGTATAGGACTTTTGAATCCACCTTAGCAAACATGTTTGTGTCCTTGTGCATGTCATCTTTAATAGAGGAATTGTTTTGCCCATGCTTAGGGATGTCAACGAGTTGAGCGGAGTCGGTTTGCGAGCTAAAACTCGAGGCTTGGGCGCGGCTTGAGTAAAATTAAGACGGGCTTTTTTTCGGTTTGGGCCTTACCGAGTTGAGCAGACTCAATTTTTTTGTTTTTTTTTTAAAGGCTGCTCTACTGCCATTTTTATTTATTTATTTATTTATTATTATTTTTTTAATTAGCCGGCTCGGGCTTTTCCGAGCTGAGTTGGCGAGCCAAATTCCCATCCATACTCATGCCTAAGCCATGACAACAAAAACAATTTAAATGAAACTAGTCAAATTGCCATCCCTACTCATGCCTAAGCTATGACAACAAAAACAATTTAAATGAAACTTGTCTAGTTAAGTGACTCATATTTAGTGCCTTTTTGAGTCTCATTTTTGGCTAAGATGCATTTTAGGCATAATAGGTTGATGGAGAATGTGTTGTTAAAAAATAAGAAAAATTTTTAAATTTGTATGTAATATTATTTTAGTTAAGAACGTGTGGTTGAAGAAGAGAGAGAGATATATTTTGAAAATAATAGGGGATCAAACAAGGGCTTAATAGTATTTTCAAGCCCAATGCACCTCTTTGCAGGTGGCAATTGTCTTAAAGAAAACTCAACCTTAAGAGCGATGGGGACTTTCCTTTGCCTAAGAATTGATAAAGGTGAGCCTTCTTCTTAAACCTTTCCTTGATGGTGCTGCATATATAAATCCTATACTCTAATTTTCTTATTTATTTTCTGCTCAGGTATAGATACAATATTTTATGGCTAACTTCATATGACCCGACTTGATTAACCATTGGCTCGTTTCTATGAGATGGAAATTGTTCATATAGACGATAAAATTGTTTGCAGTTTTTCGCAATTTAAAGTTAGATGTTAAGTGATTTGACACTTTTGTGCCCTAGCTTTTGTTGGATTTTAGTGTAGTGGAATGAAACCGGATTATCACATACTGTATATGTTATTTAGATACCGATTTTAAGTATACCGTATAAGCAGCTTACCGTATTTGCAGGTAGCTTACCGTATATGCAGCTTACCGTATTTGCAGCTTATCGTATATGCTGCCTACTGTATTTGCTTCCTACCGTATATACTGCTTACCGTATATCATTCCTACCGTATATGTTTTTAATCGTATTTGCACATATTTTCTTTATCCTTTTCATATATACTGTATTTTCACTTACACATAGAAATACCAAAATTATAAAATATATTTTTTTTAGATTTTTATTTTTAACATAAATAGAAATTAATGCAGATTAATTTTGATAAACATAAATAGAACGATAACATAATAAAATGGCAAATTATATGAATCACACGGATAAACGCTAAAAAATTAAATCTACAAGAATAAATTGTTAAGGTATAATCACAAAATAAATAAATAGTGGATTAATTTTCAATCTAAGGCCTGTGCGAACACAGTTTCCTTAAAACAGATTTGCCCCCTCACGGTAAGTGCTTGAGGTTTAATCCGAGCGTCTGTTTTTTAGGGTACAACGATAAAACTTGTAGAATCTGAGCACCATATATACTACTTCGACAAATTGACTAGTATTTGAACAATATCACCACAATGACGACGCTGAACAGAAATCGAGATGCAGACAGAAAAATTGTAGAATATTTTTCTCCTATTTTCATGTGTGTTTCTGTATGTGCTGAAATTGCTGGAAAAATGATCTTTTATATGAGTTTAAATATGCCTATTAACTCCATAGCAATAAGCACTGAAGTTGCTTCAATTTTTGGGAGTTTTGGCAGTTTTCGAAAACTCAAAGGTCAGTAGAAGAAAGAAAAAAATTGCAAAACGTGGACACTCTAAACGGGCCAATTTCTGCTCCGTTCAGTCTGACATTCGTGTACGCAGGTCGCGTCTATACACAAGTTCAAGGTTCAAGGGTAATTTCGGTCCGTGATTTGCACCCTTCTACGCGCGCACGTGGAGAGAGCCTCTATACTACACATGATTACACCCTTCCAAAGTATAATCCTATATAAAGTGGTTCATACTTCATTTTCCTATGTGAGACTAGTTTTATTTCCTACATTAACCATCTTCCAATGATCATATTTGAGCTCCAATTTCTCATTCATCCATTAATCAATTTTGACAAATAAATATATGGTTTCGATGCTCTCACATAGGAGAAAACGGATCAACTTTGATCTTCCAAATTGGACCAATGGGTCCCACCGAAAATCTTGCCAAAATTGAGTCATTTACTCATTTTTTTCCAACAATCACCCACATAAATGAAAATTGGGAGAGACATGAAACCGTGAGACACAATACTAGGTGATAAAATTCAACGATTGAAGCTTGCATAGGATAGGTAGGTATTACTCTTTGAACCTTTTCTTGTGAAAACATATTTACTTTACTAGCTGAACAGTAGAGGTGTTGTCCTTGAACTGTTCTGCTATTTATGTAAACGATGATATACTCCACACATGATTCTTTCTAACACAAATTAGTTCTCATTATTATGTTCATTTTGGTCATGAACATATGCCTGATTTTATGATAGTTCTTAAAAATTGAGCCCTACACAATTCTCTTAGAAGCGGCCCCACTTCTCTCTCAAATAGGTGATCTCTTACTACAAATAACCCGTATTACTTGACTCGATTTTTGATGCATAAGAATTATTAAAAACTTATTACTTATCCTTCATCCTTACGGGTATCACTGTTATACCATAGGAATGGACATGAGGAAACACCCACACAGTGATTTTATTAAGTCTTTACAATTAGGTTGTCCATTTGAATCTAGATCTTAGAATCTCTAGTCAACTAGGTTGGATTTCCTTTGTAATGACTTATCCATTCAAGGGTTTAAATCCCATTCCTTTCGATGACTTCCCAACTAACTCTCTATTTAACTCTTTGGTTAGTGGATCTGCAATGTTATCTTTTGACTTTATATAGTCAATAGTGATAACTCCAGTTGAGAGTAGTTATCTTATGGTATTGTGTCTTCAACGTATATGTCTAGACTTACCATTGTATATGTTACTCTGTGCCCTTCCTATTGCTGATTGACTGTCACAATATATGTAAATTCTTGGCACAGGTTTTGACCATTTTGGAATATCCTCTAAGAAGTTGCGCAACCATTCGGCCTCTTCACCACATTTATCTAAAGCTATAAACTCAGATTTCATCGTAGATCTGGCTATAACTGTTTGCTTAGAGGATTTTCACGATATGACAACACCTCCCAATGTGAACACAAATCCATTGATGGACTTTGAATCTTTTATATCAGATATTCAATTAGTATCACTGTATTCTTCAATGACCGCTGGATATCTGGTATAATGTAGTCCATAGTCACGAGTATATTTTAAGTACCTTAGTACTCTCACTATTCCTTTCCAGTGATCAGCTCTTGGATTACTCGTGTATCTACTCAATTTACTGACTGTGTAGGCTATGTCTGATCTTGTACAACCCATCAAGTACATTATACTTCCAATAACTCTCGATTGTTCTACTTGAGAGACATTTTCACCTTTATTTTTAGATAGATGTTGACTTGTATCTATCAGTGTTCTAGCCAAGCCAGTATCATCCTTATTGAACTTTTCCAAAATTTTGCCCACATAATGTAACTGACTTAGAACAAGCCCATTTGATGTTCTTGAGATTTTGACTCCAAGTATAATATCAACTAAACCCATATTTTCATGTCAAATCTCGAATTCAACATATTTTTAGTGGATTCAATCATCTTATTGTCACTACTAACAATAAGCATGTTGTTAACGTAAAGACACAAAATGACATAACCATCTTTAGTGTCTTTAACGTAAACACATTTGTGATACTTATTGATTTTAAATCCACTCTCTATCATGACATTATCAAATTTTTCATGCCATTGTTTGGGTGTTTGTTTCAAGCCATATAGTGATTTCACCAATTTACAAACTTTCGCTTCCTGCCCTAGTAAGGAAAATCCCTCGGGTTGTTCCATATAAATTTCTTCTTCTAAACATCTATTTAGAAAGGCAGTTTTAACATCCATTTGATGTACTTCAAGATTTCGCAAAGCGGCAATCGTAAGTATCAACCTAATAGATGTTATTCTCGTCACTGGAGAATACGTATCAAAGTAATAAAGACATTCCCTTTGTTTGTAACATTTTATTACTAATCTGGCTTTGTACTTTTTGATAGTTCCATCTGCTCTCATTTTCCTTTCGAAAATCCATTTATAGCCTCGTGGTTTGCTTCCTGGAGGAAGATCTACTAGCTCCCATGTATGATTTTGCAGTATGGAATCATCTCACTTTTAATGGCCTTCTTCCATTGAGGTCCTTCCAAGGAATTCACAGTCTCTTGATAACTTTGAGATTTACTTTCTAGCTTATAGGTCAGAAAATTAGGACAATACGATTTTTCTGTCATTTCCCGTTTACTATGTCTAACCTCAATCTCCTCTTCTAGTTCTTCGTCATGACTATTTTCAGTTATAGTCTCATATGTCCGTTTGGAGGAGTTTGCTTCCTCTTTGGACTTATACAGAAACACATGTTCAAAGAATGAAGCATTTCTTGATTCTAATATCGTGTTTTTGTGTATATCAGGGATTTTAGAATCATACACAAGAAATCGATAAGCACTACTATTGTGTGCATACCCAATGAAGATGCAATCTACTATCTTTGGTCCTATCCTTACCTTCTTTGGTGTTGGAACGACCACTTTGGCAAGACACTCCCACACTCGTAAGTATTTATAAGAAGACTTTCTTCCTTTCCATAACTCATAAGGGGTCTTTTTCATTTTCTTTCAGGACACCTTATTTAAAATGTAATTTGCTGATAACATAGCTTCCTCCTACATGTTTTGAGGTAACCCAGAATTTACTAGCATTGCATTTATCATTTCCTTTAAAGTGCGATTTTTCCGTTCAACAACGCCATTTTGTTACGGTGAATAAGGTGCGGTGGTTTCATGTATGATTCCGTGTTGTGCACAGAATTCAACAAACGGTGCTTCATACTCACCACTTTGATCGCTTTTTAACACCTTAATTTTCTTTTTAAGTTGAGTTTCAACTTCATTCTTATAGATAACAAATTTCTCTATAACTTCATCTTTACATTTTTGCAAATACACATAACAGTATTTGGTGCTATCGTCAACAAAAGTAATGAAATACTTGTTGCCAACTTTGTTTGTCCGAATTTTAAATCACATAAGCCGCTGTGAATTAAATCAAGTGGTTCCGTGTCCCGTTCAATTGATTTAAACGATGATCTTGTCAATTTTATCTCAACACAAGTTTCACATTTATATTTGGAATCAATATGGAACTCGGGTATGCAATTCAAATTAACTAGTCTACGTAAAGTATCATTGTTAATATGTCTTAGTCTACCATGCCACAAATTGGAAGACTCAAGCAAATAAGCAGATGAGTTTGCTTTATTCAATTTTGGTTTAACAACTATTGCATTGAGTTTAAACATATCGTCGGAAACATATCATTTTTAGACAAACATTCCACTTTTTGACAAAATAACTTTGTCTGACTCAAATACAATGCGAAAGCCATGCTTATTCAACAACGACCTAGATACTAGGTTCTTGCGAATTTTCGACACATCTAGCACATTGTTAAGAGTCAGCTCATTTCCCAAGGTCATCTTGAGAACCACCTATCATTGTCCCTTGATTTCAGAAGTTGCTAAATTACAACTTCTCTCATTCTCAATTGCTTCAAACGTAGAAAACAGCTCCTTATCAGGGCACACATGCCTCGTAGCACCGGTGTCAATTCACTACTCCTTAGGGTTTGAACCCACCATGTTTACTTCAGAAATGATAGCTGAGAGATTCAGCTCTGACACATCTTATGCTATGTAGTCAACCACATTTGCTTATTTCTTCTTCTTTGGCAATCCGCACTCCGAAGAGTTATGGCCCACTTTGTCACAATTGAAGCATTTTCCTTGAAATTTCTTCTTAGAAATTCCACATTTCAGTCC